GTATAAGTGTTCATTTGTATGTTATAAAAACGAATAAAATAAAAATAAAAAACAGCGTTTGTAGATAACACAATTTGTCTGGCGCGTGTCTGTCTATGCTATGCCATGCTCACATAACAATGCCACACGCTCTGGCCACAAATGAAGCATAATCGAATACTTCCGGCCGGTGAATGAAACCGAATTCGTAATCGAAACTAACTAACGTACAGATTATAGTGAACAAAAAAAGCGATAGCAGGTGGTGGGGCACAAAAACAAAAGAAGACAAGACAAGACGGCCATGACAGACGAAGAAGCGAATGAACTTCAGCTTTTATTACACACATATTGTATCTGGATATATAACAAACATATGGCATACATATGTGGGTATGTATGTATGTAAGTACTATATATGCATGCGATTGTCTAAGAGGAAAAGAAATGTGCATGCTCTTACGCTGCTGGATATCTAATCTAGAGGATATTTATGTGACTTGATGCAGTAAACTTGTATTTTCATACGTGCATACTGACAGATGCTTACTGACAGATGCATACTGACATACATATGTGTATGTGTGCACAGAAGTATAAACATTAGTTTAATCGTTTTTTTGTTCGAATATACCATAACATTTATTACATTTATTTGTCAACAACAGTTACTGTTGCATGCTGTTAACACAATTATAAATATTTTACAAATATACAGTGTACATGCCAGCATACTTACATATGTAGTGTATGTTGCTAATTTGATGTTAATCAGACAGTCTGCAGTCGGCATTTGAGTTAAGCTTGGCGGTCGATTGGTTTTTAGTTTAAAATGCTGACATAATTGTTTAGCGAATCGGCAAAATCGGCAGAAGAAAACCGAAACCGAAAACTTTTAAACAGCGCTGAGCGGATGAATGTGATCAGTGTTGCCGTTGTGCTACTAATGGCGCGATTTGGCACTTTTTAAGAGCCAATACCCTTTGACCCGACTTTTTGAAAATTTAGATTTTTTGACCCTTTTTCAAAATTAAATAAGTATGTGCGACTTTTGCCCCTTTTCAGAGATTTTTTAGGAAATGTTAACAGAACTATGCTATGAAAATATATATTTCCTCCTGTAAGTTCAAAAAAATGCGTCACTTAAAATTTTTTAAAGGAAATGCAACTTTTCTCCTTGTAGCAACTAGATTTATGTGTATGTTTGCAACCCTGTTTTGTGCAAATCTTGTCCCGCTATTTTCTTTTTAAATTCAACAAATTTATTCTTTTACTAGTAAAGAAGGGTAAAAATAATATGGTGACCCTTTTCTTAGTCAATGACTCTTTTTTTGCGACTTTCTGAAAATTCTCAACACGGCAACACTGGATGTGATTATGCATGGAATTTTTGGCATGGGAATTTGGAAGCTCAATGATGCCAAATTACATTTGATATTGATACCAATAACGATAACAATTAATATCGATAAATATTGATAAAAGTCGCAAAAGCGAAAATTTCGTTATTTAATTTGACAACAATATCGATAACGATAACCCTAACATGGCCTACATACAACTAAATAAAATGTGGTTCCTTTAAATTTATCTATATGCCGATACTGATAGCGCTAAACAGCCAGATAAAGATATTGGAAAATATCGATATATTTAAATATGTGCATCGATGAATATGTGCTTTGGAAACAAAATCGATAATAAGGTCTTAAATACAAAAAATAGGGCTAAAATACAAAAACTTCGATTCCAGTAAATTTGTTGATATTTCGATACTGGTAACGATAAACAAATGCATATACCGATAACGAAGCTTGTTGTTCAACTGCTATAAATATATGTACATACATACTATAGTACATAGTAGACCAATCTTATTTAAATAGTAATTAATTAAATCGATTACACGTGCTTTTCATGTTCACTAAATACTTTTGTTTTTTTCCATTTTCTTTTGCAGCGTCAAAAACTACAAAAAACTTAAAACTATACAGCAAAAGCGGAGCAACTAAAATTTTTATTTAAATTTTTCCCGCTTTCCCATATATGTACGCGTATGCGCATACTCACATTTATATGCTTTTGCATTTAATTGCCACAACATTGCGGTGACAGTTGTGATTGGAAAAAGTGGATGACTCAAAAATGCTTAAACACGAAATTATTGAACTACATAGTTACTAAATCCGATTGGAAAACTAAAGAAACTTGTTATCTGTCGCTCTTCGATTTGCTTGTGGCCTTAAGCTTTAAATATGTAGTGACCGCCACAATCATACAAACTTACCACCAACTTATCTACATAGCTTGGCAAGCCAAATTTATGAATGAAGCGAGTGCGCCGCACGCTTGTAGGTAAGTGGGTGCTTTTGCCACCAGTGAAAGCAGTGCAAAGAGATGAGCTGGAAAATTATTAAAGAAAAAGAAGAAAAAAAAAAAAAACAAAAACAATACACTTTTGCCAATAGATTTCGTGGTTGTGATAAGCAGTGGCGTATCAAGAGCGTTCGCTGCACGCTGTGGTGAACGGAGTGAGCAGCCTCAGCGAGCAGTTGAGTAACTAGACACTAGAGTACTAACGAGTCAGCGAATTCGGTTTTGCTTGAGCTTCGTGAAAGTCACACGTCTCACCGCAAATGGTCGAACCAATGCGTGGAAATGAGTATTGGTTGGTTGAAGTAAACTCTGGCAGCCGGCGGGTTGGCTGTGTTTACAGCTCATTCAATGTTTTAGTTGCAAATAGTAAGCGCGGTTTGCTAAAAATCGGACGGATATAAATGCTGTAGGCGAACGAATACGATTTTTGAAATAATATAGCAACATTTAAAAGTGAGTGATTACGGACGGATTAGTTAAAGAATGATTAGTTAAAGAATATTGATGTCAATCAACCTGATTCGGTAAGGTACTGAAAAAATATGAAAGAAATCTTGTTTCAAATGAAAAGTGAAATTTTTTTATGGGACTGCCGAGTAAATCGAAATAAAATGAAAAGATAAAAATTTAATATAAATTTAAATGAAATAAAGATACGCCGAAAATTTTGTCATTCGGCTATCTAATACAAAATTTTATAGGCACATTTTCAAATAAGGTAGTGTCAAATCAATAAAAAACCTTCTCGCATTTATTACTTCACTTGGTATAAATTCACCGTAGTTTCACTAAAGAAAAAGAAGTGTCATAGTTATAAAAACTTAAGTCGAAAATATCCTGGCTTAGTTTGTTAGATTGTGTTGGTCAGGTGGCATTTGAATTTACTTAATTTCCCCTTTGACGCTATAATTGTTAGCCTGGGATGTCTCTCTTTATCCCTCGCTACGATTCAATGCGAAAATCCCTACTTTTTTGCTTTTGCAGCGTATGAGTGGTAGATTTTTTCTGTGCAACACACTGGGTTTGGCTAACGTCTCGTCAAAACCCCGCCCAATTAAAAAGACCATAAAGCCTCGAATGAGACCCCCTTTTTTTGACGACGACCACGGCAAACGTCCAATGGACTATGATTTGAGGGTATGCACCTGGAATATCCGGACCCTTATTGGGTTGGTGCCTCTGTCCGGCTGGTTGATGTCCGTGGGAAGACCAAGGCTGACATCACCGCCATCCAAGACGTAGCAAACAAGCGCAATTTTAGATATTGGATTTGTGCTGGGAGAGGGACTCCGTTAACTCCGAGTTCACCCCGGCGGACGAACGTCTAGCCGCAATCCGCATCAAAGCCCGATTTTTGAACATCTCGGTCATATGTGCGCCCCTCCTCCTAGACGATCCAATGCAGAGAGGATCTTCCCGTTCCTCTGCTACCATCAACTCATACCAAAGCAAATACATACACCCAGGAACGGGGAGATTTGGGCTTCTTCTCCCATTTGTGTTGTACGTCGCGTAGTTATTACACAAATGGAGGTACCTACAGTTTAACGTCGCCTTCGAACGGCCAATGGCTTTTATGAGAACCTTTATTCAAGGCAAAGACACACTCGCAGGTTTGCTATTGCCATTTCCCTTTTTTGATGCTGCTCGGAACAGGGATAGAACTTAGGTGTTACAGAGTAGTAGCTCGCTACAAAGCACTTAATTAAGAGCTGTCTTAGGTTCTCACCTCAGCCGTCACGAAGTAATAAATAGAAAAAGAAAAAAATCGCTTTTGAGCTTCGGTCATTAACTTTCTGTGATCCTCGAATAACCGTGCTTTGCTATCCATATTAGAGTCTGGAGGCTTCGGCAAAAAATATTAAAAACAACAGTATACTATAAGCAAATAAAGATGGTTAGATTCAGAAGGAAAACATAAAAATTTATTAAAAATTTCCACTACTCCCCACATCAAATTTTTGTTAATAGGTTAATAAATAAAACCTAAATCTGTCGAAATGAACATAAGCGTGAATAAATATGAAAACTTCAGAAAACAAATTTCAGCAAATACAAAGCGTAACTACTAAAATATCTAATGTCAATATATTTTGTGCAAAAATCAAACTTTGTCTTCGAACCGTCTAGTACCACGACAAGCCTACCACAATGCCGCTGCCAAGTGACTCTATTTCAATGCAGTAAACGCAATCGATTAAGTAATAACATTTAACGGCAATTTACATAGGTACATATATACCCGAATAAACCAAACTCCAAAAGCACGCGATTTTCAATGTAAACAAACAATATACATACACACACACAAACTCACCTGCATAGCACAACAAATGTGAAGCTACTTACTACCTTCCTTCCTTCCTTGTTTTTTACCCTTTCCCTCACGACTACAATAATTGCGCTAATCATAAATGCACATACATAACTGGTGGCAACACTCTGTGCGCCTTCACGCCGGCGCAACAGCAAGTGAAAGTGAATTTGAAACCATATAACAAAAAAAAAACAGACCACAACACAAAACTACGAAATCGTTTGCAAAGCGAAATCAACTAATAAACAAAAAGAAAAAGACCAATAAAAGCAAAGAAGCAAAAAAAAATTAAAATATGCGCCTGCGTAAAAGCATCGCACTTGTAAACTGAGAAGTGTGTGAATTTTTATGTTTTACTAAATACAAGTTGCTGTGCGGTAAACGCACTAAATGAAATGCTTGGGAATAAATAATAAATATCAGCTGCAGTGAGTTTGAACTAGTAAAATATGTGCGAAATTTTAAGCGTAAATATGCAAATAACGAGGTGGTGATTTATAATGGCGTGGTGATGCATCGCAAATTTTTGCTAAATAGATTTCATTGTACATATGTAGTAGATTATTTTCCCTGTCACATTAGCTCTATTACATTGTTGGAATTTCCTGTTTAATGTACTTTTACTTTGTTAGCAGCAAAAATTTGATTGCAACAACTTGCCAGCGCGTTAGCAGAGGTGCGTAACATGAAGAAGAGGAATCTGCTGTTAAAGCTATGTGTACTGCTGGCAGCGCTGTCGTGGCATGTGGCAGGTAAGTGAATCTTAAAAAAAAAAGAAAAAGAAAAGATATGTATGTAATTATTTCTCTGAATATTTTAAACAAAACCTTAAACACTTTATCGGTATTGGCTGCAATGGCGGATTCGCAGTTAGAAGACTGAATCCATTTCTGAAAAAAGTACATTTCTTTATACCCAACTACTTTCGCTGCCTTCTTGTCAAGCTTAAAGTAGCTGTTGAAAGTGGAAGGTGCAAGCGGTTTTCAAAAATCTGTCAAGCTCAAGAATTTCCAAAATTGTTTGCAGAAGTAGTTACACTTGCATGTAAAGTGACTTTCCATTTTCAAATTTACTAAAAATGCTAAAATAAACACAAAATATTTAGCCACAAAATGTCTAATGTAGTAATATTAAAATAATTCATATCAGCAGAATAAAATAGTTGCAAGTATATATTTTTAATAATTCATTCAATATCTTTATAATTCGCCAAAAATCGCATCACATGGCAACACTCGATTGCTTTGACAGCACTTTCAGCAGAAATTAAAATTGCTAGTGCAGCACGAGCAAGTGGAAATAATTTCTCAAACTCTATTTGCGCTCATTCAGTTACATTTATACCTTGCAATTTTTATTTCCGCAAATTTGCAAACAAGATTTTTTGAGTTTTTACACAGGGTAGCGAACTTTCTGCATTGCCTTGTCTTTAGGCATGGGTTAAACTATTGGGGTAACCCCAATATGATGGGTTTCAACAATTTTCAGACGAGCTTCTGGGCAGATCGATCCCAGCTTTGCACTCTTCCAGAGAACTGATATGGTCACAACATCTGTAAATGACGGGACCAGATCCCGGTTCTCTTGCTTCGCTTCTAACACGTTTTTGCCAATGCGATCGGGTCCAGGTCGCAAGCATTTTGGCTCTTTTCGATAGCTTGTTGGCACTTAGCGGATTTCCATATATTTATGTAAGTGGGTACGGTATCACTTGTTGTGTGCCTTCGTTGCAAGCTCGATGGTACTTTAGCTCTAGTAGGTGGTTGCTCCTGTCAGATGCTTTTCATTTTGTATCCATAATTAGGACCACGAGTGGCGGCCATCGTACGCCTGCGTAGAGTGCCGGTCTAATCGGGTAAGACTGAGAAGGCCCGAAAGTCTCCCGATACAGGAAGCACTCCGTTCGGGACTGGACTTTGTCCAGGCTTGCCTGATACTCCATGCAATAATGAAATCTGCCACCGAAAGTAGAGACGAAAGGGTCTGTACGGGGATTTTTAGTACGATAAATATGACAGGTAACTTAAATCGAAAAATTGGGCAGTGAATATGAAAAAAAATAATTAAAAGGATTGCATATAGAATACAGTAAACAAATTTTTTGAGACATAATGGCTTCGTCAGAATAGGTAATTTTCGTACGGTTCGCTAAAGGATGAAACTCACACTTAAGTAGACTGTGTGTGTTGGCATAGAGTGCGTCGGATTGGCAACCCTAGCGTCAACGGACCTAACGCTCGTTGGCCAATATTCAACTGTCTCGGTCTGAGATTTTTACCAGAATTTTCCTTCCACTTTCAGAATTTTGCAGCTACAAATTCCTCGAAGCTGCTGCTGCTTGGATAAAAATGTAGTGTGGAGTCCAACCTAGAAGCGACGCTAAGGCCGTGGTTGAACTCCTTCTCATCGCACCTGTCACCGATAGTAGAGCCATTCTTTGGAGTTTGTTCAGACTAAGAATAAATAAGTTACAATCGGACGGACTATAGTTAGGTATAGCCATTACATTAATTTAGCGTTAAAACCCCTTGTACTTGCCCATTCTTTTAAACGGTACCAGAACAGCCTTATGCGGCTGATACGGGTTTATCAATTTCAGATTCCTTATTTCGTTCGTACAAACCTGTTCATTTTCTACGTTATCTGTAGCGCATGCCATTCTTTTATTCTGCCTTTACTAATTTTTCTTACTTTGACAGTTATGTGTACAAATAATACGGTTTGCTGCATTTTGGTAAGCGCATAAACTTTCGTAATAAATACACGCTAACAATTAAAACCAATAATAAAGCAAAAATATTATCTGCAAACATACATACAAAAAACATAGTTTATATTACATAACGATTTGCACATACATATGTATGTTTATTTGTCACCTATAACTCACTGTTGTTGTATGGCATTGTTAATGATTATATATACATACATACATACATAGTTATTGGGCGGTAAAACCATTTCGCGTGCTGGCTGACATAAGAAAGAGACAAAAGGTATAAGTAAATCTTGAATAAACTCACATAATCGTGACGGCACGAAGGTGTAAAAAGTTTAAATTATAGTACGGTAACATATTTGTGTACACACATTCGCACAGACATATGTGGAATGAAATTTTGAAAAAGGTGCCAATTGGAAAAAGCATTAAATGATGAGCGCCAAGCGAAGAGTTCGACGGTTCGATCATGCAAAGCCTTTAAAATATATTAAATACTTAATTAGCATTTCAGTCGTAACTTCAGTTTACTGTTTGTTGTGTCCAATAATTAACGAGGGGTTGTACACAGTGCACGCGATGTATGTAAAACATTGTAACTGTTAATATAAAAATTGCACTGACATGCAGCATACATACATACATATTTTCCTAAACGTGTCAGCCACTAAAAGATCAGTTAGTGATAAAATAAAGTACTTCGTGTTCTCTAACAATTTTCAGCTATGCATTGACTAGGGATGTTTCGAATGTCATATTTTTCACATTCGCGAATGCAATACTACTAAACTGTAATTAAAATACTCACTAAATTAGTAAAAATTAGATATGAATTTTTGCAACCGAAGCGTTGAGTCACCCTTTAAATGATAGCAAGTTTAAATAAAAGTAAAGACGAATTAATCTGTCAGACATTCATTGATTTCTTTTAAATCGATTTATGATTCGCATTCGCTTCAAATTTTAACAGCTGCACAGACTTTACCGTAATTTACTTTTTATGTAGCTTCAAAGAAATAATATGTAATAAATATGTACAAGTACTTACTTATACTGTTATCTGCATACGATTAAATATTTACTATTGTCAACAAATCTATTAAATTGATTGATTATAATTGAAGCGAAGTTTTAAAATAAGTAGGTATAGTTATACGTACATACACATATACATTAGGATAATCCCAAAATACACAAGAAAATAAAATTTTTTTAAATTTTCTACTGGCAAGCTGCTGGGGAATGATAGCAAATGGAGAAAAAAAGGCTATGCTTTTATTTGGAAACTGAAGAAAATAAGCAAGAAAAGAGAAGTTTTAAGCGTTTAGATAAGCACTAAAACATTAGTAAATATTATTGCAAATATGCTCGAAAAACAAAAAAAAAAATCCAAGTGCAATGGACAATCAAGTGTTGCTTGATATTCTCAAATAATAGATATCTGCGCTGGTCGTTTTAAGCTTTTTTTTTGATTTTAAATTTTTGTATGCAAGCACTTGGACGAATAAGAAAAATGCCAATAAACGTCAATAAAAATTTTCTTAAGTAGTATGGAGCATGATAAAAATATAGTAAGGTAGAACCGCTGAGAGTCACTTTTGAAATTCTTGACGTTTCCAAACAATTTAATTTTTAAATTTACTCACAAACTCACACACACATTTTCATTTTCAATCTCAAGCAACAACAATTTCGAACAATTTCAATTTTTTATTTTCACTTTTATATGATTTTAAAATGTTGGCAAACTTCAAAAAAAAAATCATGGCCGACAAATTGAGAGAACGGTTCTACCTTGCTATGTTTTTATCATGGTATGGAGATCATAAGAAATTTTCCACGCTTTCTACTACGGTTTTCTAAAGCTTTTTTGTGAAGAGCTCTACGCTCCCTTATTTTCAACAGAAATATATGCCCGTTCCATTATTTCGCAAGGAAAAGGTGAGGCAATTGTTTTGTTTGCGTTAGCTATCGCGAACGCTAGCAGAGTAAAGTTACCGCTCGCAAAATGTTTCCGAGTGATTTGAATTGGTTGTGTTTCGTTACTCTGTAGGTGCAAAACTAAACAATACCGAAACGTTTGCTATTGTTTGTTTGCGTTCTCTGTAAGGTACAAATGCACATTGTGTTTGGAAGCTGAAAACGTCGAAGGTAGTTTTTTCGTCAGAGTTTGTTCGTCAAATAACTGAATTAAAACATTCGTATCGCGCAAGAACATCCACTTTTTTGTTGAGAAGACTGCAAGAAAAACTTTCTAACTTATTTTCGCCTATTCTGAGTAAACATCCAATTAACAACAAAAATTCACAAGGCGAACTTAGCACAGTGCGTAGGCAACTGGCTGAGTTAGTGGGATCATCGGTTCGAATTCTACTGAAAGAAGTCTGATGAGGAAATAGCTATCACTTCTACCATTTTGTCAAATTATTGTTGCTTTTCCATAATAAGTTTTTCATTAAAAACGGCCTCAAGCTCAATAAAAATTGTTGAATATAATTGTTATAAGGCCATAAAATAATAAAAACAAATATCAAATTAACTTTAAAAAGTGTTTGCATTCCGAGCAAAGCTCGGCCAACCTGGTACTGGTGCCATTGGAGCTTAGAAGCATTGCATGTATTTTATATGAAGAAATGTAGTTTTTGTAGAACTGCTACAAAATCGTTAAAACAATTATTTTTTGACCGTGTAAGAATATTTCCCTTAAGAAATCACTAACAAAAAAAAATATTATACATATTTACTTTTAAAATTAAATTTTTTTTATAGCCGTTAATATTATCTTTTTATACAAAATATTTTGTTATTTTATGTGTTCGTAGCCGCACAACGCACGAAAAGCCCAACGGATTAGCTAAATTAATTTTTTAATATGCTTCGTAATTTTATTTTGTGGAGATTTCTGAAGGAAAGTACTCGTATTCGATCAAAAGAATTTATTTTTTCACCGATTTTATTTCTTTTTTCCATTTTCTTTAATTCTGGGGGTGGCTGGGGAAACCACTTTGGACAACCCTAATATTCATTTATATGTGTGTATACATATGAGTTTTTTTTTAACACTAAATGACCAGCAGTTGACCAACAATTAATAAAGAGATATCGCTTTTGCTCCTTTGTCTGGCGCTATGACCTCTCGATGCTATGTCGATGAGTATGTAGCGGATTAATTGATTGTTAAGATTTTTATGAATTTTAAAAGAGTCAAGTTGTACTTGCATACAGTACTTGTATAAAAGGCATACAACATTTACGATTACAGAAACATTTGACAAATGAGCAAAAACTGAACTGTTTTCTGTTTTGAAAATAAACACAATCGACGAAGTCTTCTTTGTATTTATCGCGCTTGGAAAAGCGTGGGCATATATAGTTTCTCCTACACACTTTCCTCAACAAGCCTAGTAACTCGCTAAAATCTAAAATGCTTTAGAATTGTTATGTTTAAAATCAAGCAAATTCAGTAAATTCACGTTTTTGTTGGCTAAGTGAAGGAATTCTACTTCCTCTTTAAATTTACCTTAGTCTATGTACATAGATATATATATATATACATATATATATATATATATTTTAATATAGTTCATTCTAAAACTTTGTTCAAAATTCAGGAAAATTCAATAAATTTACATACTAATTTGCAACTTTCTATTCAGATTTTCTTGAAAAATTCTAGGTCTGCAGTTTCATAGCCCATTCAATTTTAGTATAATAAAGTGCAAGCTTGAAGTTGCTAGAAAGTAGCGTTGATTTTTGGCAATTTTTTTAGCTCATTTTCTTCATACAAAAAATAATGGCCGTACATACTTTGTATGGAAGAAAAAAAATTGCCAAAAATCAACGCGATTTTCTAGCAACCTCAAACTTGCACTTTGTTATACTAAAACTGAATGAGCTATAAAACTGCATACTTAGAATTTATCTAAGAAATCTGGATAAAAACTTGCAAATTAGTATGCAAATTTATTGAATTTTTCTGAGTTTTGCACAAACTTTAGAGATTTTATTTCTATGATTTTTTGTGTAGAATGAAATATATTTTTATATAAAATTATTGAAAATAAATTAGAATAGAAAACTTTGCACATATTGCGGAAAATCCACTGTGCCAATACTTTTGCTCGTCACTGTATGTACATATATGTACTTAAAAATTATTCAGCAGCTCAAAAGTCCTTAGTTCATTGTTGAGTACAGTTTTTTATTTTTTATTTCGCATCTGCTGATCATTTATCACTGACAATTATGTACTTAAATAGTTAAAAGGCAGTAATATATTTTATGATAATAGCAATGCTGGATTTGTACCTCGGACAGCGTTAAATTCATAGCGATAATTAAAGTAACACCAAATGTGAAATGAAATGACTTAATTAGAAAATTAAACAAACAATTTATGAAAGCACTTGAGGTGACTAATTTGGTGAAAAAGAAATGAAAATACCTGCGCAGTTTGCGTGCCATTTTTTTTTTTTTGTTTAATTACTCATAAAGTCTTTATTAAGTACAACTTCTGAAGTACGTGCAATGAGATGTCTGTCTATTCTAAGGCTTGAGATGAATGGTATGTTTATTACAACGTCACTTAAAGCAATTCGTTGTTCATATTTTTGCTAAGTGTTTGGCCGAGCTTCTTCTCCACTTTGTGAGAGATGCCTTGATTATGAAAAAAATCGACTGGATATTATCGATGTAAGTTCAGGCCCGAAAATTGTATGGCTGAATATCTTAGTTTTCGTGTGATTTTTCAATCTCATTTGGGAAAGCGCTATTTAATCGCCACGGTACAACCGATAGCCAAGTACGATGCTGGTCGTGTTTGGAAATGGATATACTTAGTTTTATCGAATTTGGTTAAGAAAGAACAATGGAGTGATCTAATGGTGCACCAAGCGACGACAAAGAGCATACAAAGAGACTTTGTACATTGAAACACAAGTACTTAAGTCGAAAGATCACTAAAAAGACGAATGGCAGAAGCACTTGTCTATGCTTAGTAGCCGAGCAAAGAGACAAGCGACTTGACTTAAAATTACACCTGGATGTCAACGAAGCAGTAGAATTCTCTGCTTGAAGACTATTATAAGTATAAATGTGAGTTTTAAGAATTTAGGTTTCTATTGTTACTAACGGTTGGAACAAACGGTATTGCTCAACTTCATATTTTTTTGTTGGAACTAGGCACAGAAAACACGCGTTCAGAAAATAGCACTCAGACTACATGCCGTCCGTTGTACTGTTTCCATGTCCCATTTAATCTGTTTTAAATCTGTACGATTTACGAAGAGCTCAGGTGTTCATCTCTCAATACGTCGCGGCCAAATGCTTGCTTAGGCACAAAATGTATTCCACCGTCTCATCCTCTTCAAGTCAAAAAACTAGACATACCCTTCTGAGATTGAGGGAGACATGAGTTTTTCTCAACTGCAGCCCCTCTTTGTCTCTCAGTCATTGCTGAACGAAGTATTCATCCAGTTTATGATGGTAGCTTCGATGGCCGAAGCGGGGAGTACTATAACTTGTTGCGGACCGAAGAATGCTTGCTCTGAGCCAACTCTGGCCAAATGGTTAGACGTCTCATTACAGGGTATTGCCGAGTAATCCAGAGTAAGCTTGTTATGTTCGTCAACATACTTTAGTCGAGACTTGCATCGCCGAACTAGCTTGGAAGGAGTTAGAAAGCTGCCCAATGCCTTGAGTGCAGTTTAGCTATCACTGCAGACAGCTCCCGTACAGCACACGGTAATAGTTCTTTGAAGTTTAGCAAGCAGACTTCCCGCGCTATTCATTGAGAGTCTGCTCCACCATACCGCCACTGACGCATAGCTGATTAGGGGTCTGACCATATAGGATTCCCTTGGGTGATAGACCTCAGGTTTTTCCAAAGACCTATTTACATTGCCAAAAAGCTGCCAATGCTTTGGACTTCTTGTGTTCCACGTGAGATTTCGATGATAGTTTTGTATCCAGAATTACTCCTAGATACTTTACTTCGAGAAGTTTGAATTGTGACTCCTTTCAGTGTGAGGGGAATGAAACCATTCGAAACTTCTCGTTCTAGTGAAGAGCACAACACCAGTTTTAGTTGGGTTAGCGGTGGTTCTATTTTCATCACACCATGTGTCAATCCTTCGCGCAGAGATCGGCCCGTGACTGGACAGGTCACCTCGTCCGCATAGGCTTAAGCCTAGATATCAGAGTGATTAAGAGAGACAAGAAGAGAATCAAATACCAGGCACCAGAGCAAAGGGTTAAGCACACAACTGTGGGGGCAGTCCATGCTAACTCTGCTCGTGACATATTGACCCTCTTCTTCCTAAATCCTTATGACACGTTGCGGCAGCATTGAATTTCATATTACACATTTCTATTAGTTTTGCGGGAAACCCAAAATCAGGCTTGAAATAATATTTCGATCCCCACCTAGCAGTTCTTTTTAAATGGTAGATTTACTAGGGCTCAAGCCATACTGATAAAGTCCAATCAGTTCAACGACGGTGGCTTTGGTCTTTCACACAACACACGCTCGGTAAGACCTGAAAGCCGAGGTTAAGAAGGCTGACCACGCGGTAGCAGTCGCGTTTTGCGGTGTTGTCTTTGTTGTGGATTGGGCAGAGCACAGTTAAGTTGCAGTTATCGTCGTCATTGACTGGGCGTTCCATTTCATTTTAATTAGGTTCTGAGCATCGGTCACTTGGTCGTCTTAGTTGCTCTTACGAGTATTTAAATTGTTCTTGAAACCTGCCTGAAGTCGTCGTGAGTTATTCTAATAAATTTTTTCAACTTGAAGAGCGATTTTTTTTGAAGGTACGGGAATGGTTACGCTATTGAAGCACCTACACACTGTATGACAAAGACTGGTTATTCCATATTATCATTTACATAACTCCCTTGTGCTCGATTGTGATGACTCGCACTTGTAAGTTCTTGTGTATAATAAAAACTAGTACACACTTGGCCATACTTTTTCAATATTCTTATTATTAAGTAAAAATTTACTATACTTTTTGAACTAAAGTTATTCTTTTAATTGTAAATAATTCTTCTATTTAAATACCACCTTCTCCAGTTTGCTCGGTGGTGTCTACGACAGATGCATTCGATGATGCTTTAGCTGAAACATTCTCCAAGGGCTTTGCGAATAGCACGGACTTAGTACGGGCTGTACGAGAGTCAATACGACAACACGAGCTGCTGCAGCAACGTAATAAACATAGCAGGTATGTACATAAATATTATTTTACAACTCGGTTGCAATATGAACAATACAACGATCTCTCCTCCAGATCCAAACGCGCCGTCAAACGTGTTTGTTATGGCGAACTCGGCTGCTTTGAGGACTCCGGCCCTTTCGCTTACTTGGAAATGTTGCCCTCGCCACCGGAAGACATCAACACCAAGTTCTATTTTTACTCCACAAAAAATCGTTCCGAGCGACCACTTATGGAGTTGCCTTTCCTCAATATGACCGACACATTTGCTAGCGTCGCAAGCAGCTCCCATTCGATACGACGCAGAGCAGGCTCAGTGAATGATACAGCCGCCACAGACACTTCAGCTACAACCACTACAACTACAACGACAACAACAACCACTACACAGCGTAGCGTCTTCAAAAGCACTCCATTGACGCTGGACGAACTGCATGGTTTCGATGAGCTCTCGGTGCGTGTTATTGTGCACGGCTTTGGTTCGGCCTGTCCGCATGTGTGGATCTATGAAATGAAGACGGCTCTAATGGCGGTGGTAGGCTATTGTCTGCGATAGTTTTAAGGTACAAATTTAAATTTGATTTTCTTGCAGGAAGACTGCATTGTTATTTGCGTGGATTGGGAGAACGGCGCCACTTTTCCGAACTACGTGCGTGCTGCAGCCAATACGCGACTGGTCGGCAAGCAATTGGCTATGCTTCTGCGGAATTTGCAAGAGCATAAGGGTCTCAACTTTACCAGAACGCATATAATTGGTTTCAGTTTGGGTGCGCATGTGTCCGGGTTTGCCGGCGCAGAGCTGCCGGGCTTAGCGCGAATTACTGGTCTGGATCCGGCAGGTCCGCTCTTCGAAGCACAGCACCCAAAAGTGCGTTTGGATAATACGGATGCGGAGTTTGTGGATGTGATACACTCGAATGGTGAGAACTTAATACTCGGTGGCTTGGGCTCGTGGCAGCCGATGGGACATGTGGACTTCTATCCGAATGGTGGACGTGTGCAGACGGGTTGCTCGAACCTATTCGTGGGCGCAGTGACGGATTTTATATGGTGTAAGTGATTGGAAAGCATCCTATTTTTTTTTTGTTTTTAAGCATTATAGCATTATTTGCCTCTTTCCTATAGCTGCTCAAACAGCTGACGAGGAAGAAGGTCGCTCGCTTTGCAACCATCGACGTGCTTATAAATTCTTCATCGACTCTGTAGCACCACGCTGCATGTTCCCCGCTTATCCATGCAAAAACTATGACGACTTTATTAAAGGCGAATGCTTTCCATGTGCACAGAACGACGAAGACATCGCTGAAGGTGTGCCACGATGCGGCAATATGGGCTACTATGCAGATCGTTCTACGGGGCGGGGTCAACTTTATCTGCTGACACGAGAAGAGGAACCATTCTGTGCACATCAGTTTAAGCTGGAGATATTCAACTCTTTCAATGATCTGCCGCTAAGGACCATTGGTCGCCTAGAGGCCACGCTCGAAGGCGAAGGCGGTCTGAACGAAACATTCAAGATATCAGAGTGAGTTCTTTGTTATATTTACGCTGCTTATGGTCTAACAATCACCCTTAATCTTTTTTTGCAGGAAAGATGACTCAGAATTTTTCGCTGGCGATATTGTTTCGAAAATCATTGTGCCACACCCGGCTTTGGGCTTTCCAACTACACTTAGTTTACACTACAAATCATATAGCGGTTGGCTGTCCAAAGGCCTGCCGCATTGGGATATCGATAAGGTAGTGTTAACAGACAGCTTTGGTCGCAGCCACTCACTGTGTAAGCCTTCAACAAAGCTCTCATCCGGCACACCAGTGCGCCTCAAACTGCTCTCGGGAAATTGTGAACTGGAGAATCAAGAGGAGTACGGCACTTATAATGTGCCCACCACTTCGGTGCCGGACTCTAGTGGACAAGAGAGCGCGGACAATGCGGAAACCGATAGCATAGATGCCGCCAAGCAAAGCAAAGATTACTTTAATCTCGGTACCAGTTTTCGACTGGACCAGAATAAATCATATGTTGACAACGATCTGCCATGGCAACCTATTTTCGAGGGTTCCAACGCGCTGGACAAAGACGTGGGCGAGTCGAGTCGCAGTCTTTCGGTTGAACCAACTGAAATCTTCGAACCAATTCTGAATGATCGTCGTCTTGGCCTAAAGAATGCGCGTAATCTGCAAGAATTTGGTATAACTACAGAAGAGATAGTCGAACCTGTTTTAAAAGCGACCACGCCACGTGTAAAAAAGGCAAAGGAAATAGTTTTTACCGAATCACCGTTAACCACAAAGAAACCTGAAATCATCAAAATAACACCGCTAGCTGTACGCAATGAACCTGAGCTACCCAAGTCTACTTCACAAGACGAAGCCATCACCGTGCAGTTGCTGCCCTTCCGGCTCGGTGATTTGCTTCAGCGCGCCGAACGCTATGCACGAGAGACACTATTGCCGTTAATTTCTGTGCAGGCACCGAAATTCTTCGGCTTCAATGTCGGTGGTTCAACGACTGTTGGCAGTGATGAGTCCGCTGCGCTCAAAGAAGAACCACGTAAGCCACGCTACATACCACGCTTTGAAGAAGCTTCTTTTTTACGCGAAAAACGCGTAGAGAAAAATCGCACTGCACGCAAGCCGATAACAGATCTCACGCCAGCCGAATCGAGAACGCAACGTAACATTTTCAAGCTGATAAGATCGGATCCAAAGGAGGCTATTGCGAAGGCTACTCATGGCACTACCAGTAGTGTGCTCCGGCCAGCGCAAAGGCGTGCACTCAGCGATATTACTTACTATACAAATATAATGCTTCCGGAGTCGCGTGCTTTGCGGCCGGAAGATCCCAGCTATGAGCCGGTATTCATAGAATTACCCACCTATAAGCCAAGCAAGGCAGCGCGTAGCACGCAAGGAAACGAAAAAGAGGTGGTTGAACGAAAACCTTGAAACTTTGTCTCCGGTGGTGGAAGGTGTGTGAGTAGAAGAGCACTATTTGCAATTTGTGGAACTGCGTGATAAGTCAAACTGAAATGCTATACTATTGACGATCTCTACGTCCATTGCTGTTTTCTTAATCTGAAAATATGCACCCATCGGGAGATTCATCATAATTTTTTTTTTCATTTTTGAAAATGCTCGTTGTCTTCCATTTAGCGAAAAAAATGAAAAAATTGTATAAGTAAGGAAAATGTTTGTATTTTGATCGACATTTTTAAGATCGACATTTTTACGAGTTGCATTTTAGAAATCATTAGCATAATTTCCGTGCAACCGTAGAATGCATTTCGTATTTTTCCAGAGAAGATGAAGTTTCCATCTAAATAAATTTTCTGTAAATATTTCTAATGCTATCACTGCTAGTACTCATTTAAGTTTTAAATGTATTGTAATTTATTAAAATAAGTAAAAAATTATAAATTTTTAATTATGTTATTTTTTAAGTTATGTCTAATTAAGTAAATATGTACACATTTTTTTTTACGAAATAAATTATTTAATTTTAAATGGAACAAGCTGTATTCGACTATTTTCAATTGGGGACTACATTTAGTTTTTCACTAATGCTGCCTATGATTGACACAGCTTAAAAGTCTATTCTAAACTTATAAGTTTATTTTAACAAAAAATAAAAAAAATTTCAATGAATTTTTCTTACATAAAAGTATCATGGTTTATTTGCTAATGAAATTGTTGTTGAATAAATATTTTCTCGCTTCCTTTTCGCGTTTTTTTTAAATAAAATAGAAAACAACTATCGTTTCCACCATATTTTTCTTTTTGTGACCTGCTCAGAGTCAGCTGACAATTAGTGACTTTTTTTAAGACCAGATACATGAGACAGTTTACTGAATACCAAATAGTCTCAAAATCGATGTTCACCGTGAACAGTCACTATTAGTGACTAGAGACAGCTTATTGAATACCAGGGTAAACGATAACAAAAGTAGTTTTTTTTTTTGGTCTGGCGACAGACAAATTTTTCTAAGGAGCTACGATAAGAGCTAAGCTAACATTGAGCTAATCAGCCTCATTTCGTAAGTCGTACATTAAACTAAACTGCATGACTCGACAACACTGGCATTGGAACAGGAGGAGCTTCCCTCCATCCAAATGTCTGCTTACGTAACAAAACTGGTGCTCTACAGAGTCATCACTGGAATAAAAGGGAGCACTTCATTATCCCGACTTTAAAAACGCCGAAGGCTGTCAACGCAGAAAAAAGTTTGACGCATAAATACTGGACGTAAACCACACTAATCCCTTCCGCATTGAAATTATTTTACTTGCTATCGTTTACTCACCATTTTTGAGTGAAAGCATAAAGCAAACCGGTTTGTCGTGATTTTTCTTCGTGTCTGGATATAGTCTTTCGGCGATTCCGTAGTTCGGGATTATGTATGTCGTGACTGCGTTATACAACCGGAAAATAAAAAATGTACGTGGACGACGACCTCGATGGACATAGAGGCCACAGATCAGTAGCTCAGGTATTGAGAACTTCCTGGTACCATGCTTTGTATAAAGATTTAACACGATTAGCTAGGAAATAGGGAAGTCACAAGGCATCTAAAACCGAGAAGTGGTCAAAGATGTCGCGTAGGCGAACGATGTAGGGATATGCGATATCCGAGTTGTACTTAAATGTGTAAATAGGGATGCTTCAAAGAGCACCAGTGGAGTTTTTGAGCAGAAAGCTGCAGGCTCAACGTT